TTAATAGTGCATTTTATAACGGTTTGTCTATTTATAACTTTAGGTGCCTATTTTTTTTTTCATCTTGAACTCACTATATCTTTGGACCCACCCTGGATATAAAAAAAGTTGCACTCGTTTGTAGCTGTTTCTACCGGGATCTCATTTGGTTGGCGATCGCCTGAACTCCGGCTCCACAATATCTTTCAAATACGCCGGACCAAATGGCGACATAGACCTAGGTTAGGTTGCGTCCACTGATCTCTCTCATCAATCATCATAACGTGTGGGCCACAATATCTTTCAAATCTTCGGCGGCAGCCACATATATAAATGACCTAGTCATCTTAAGTAGGCCATAAAATTGAAATTGCAAAGAGAGAGAAAACTCATAAACTTAAAAAAAAATAAGTTAAAAAAGATAAATATCATCTAAAAGATTCTTACGATATCTTGAAATTGATTATTTAGTTAAGTTTGTATAAGTGATTAGAATTTAATTGAGATATATAATCTAACATGTGTGTCACTTACAAACAATAGACAATTTTGTTGACATGATGATAATTAAATACATGTTCTAGTTACTTCTGATTTCTAAAGTGAATATCATAGCTGAGAGCTTGTAAAGATGTATTTTATCATTTTGGTTACACGTTTGAGTTAGTGATTCGGTAAGGCCAACTCCAACCATAACCATTAAAAAACATAAAAAAAATATTATCTTTTAACACAAAAATAGAGTTTTTACTCCAACCACACATTAAAATTTTACACTAAAAAATCACTTTAATAAATAAATTTATTATTATTATATAATTCAATTTAATTTTTTTAAACCAATTCTATTGAATTTAATATTGGCATATAATGAAAAAACAACTTTGGTGTTGCACATGGATAGCCGCTATATTTGGCGGTCAAAATTTTTCACACTATAATTAGTATAACGTACATCTAAGCAGTTATCGCGGTCAAAAATATAATAGCGGTCACCGGCCGCTATTTGAAATCGTGGTTTTCACGGCGGTATATAGTGGTGATATAATGTTTTTTATATTATTTAGAATTTATATATATTAGAGTATTAATCGATAAATCATACTTTAAAGTTCAACCCAATCCAGTTGATTAGTTTATCAGTAAATCATAATTCACATATCATACTTTGTTAATCATACTTCACATATCATAATTAGTTAATCATACTTCAGAGATCGGTTACCAATGCCCCAGTTAATCATATTTTAACACAATTAACAAGAAAACATATGAAATACTTACTATTTTATCATACTTTAACACAATTACAGTTATTAAATAAAATGATTAAGCAATTTGATAGTTAATCATAATGTAGTACTTCAAGTTTTCAATACAATTAGCAACACAACACATACATGGTTTCAATGGAAGTCATGACAGTCACAAAATTACAATTTTATTCAATGGAATGACACAAAAGTTTTAGTTAGGGGCTAAGAAAAAACAATTTTATTCAATGGAATGATACAAAAAAATATTTTTTTTATGTAAAATAGCCTAAAAATGGAATTTATTCAAATAGCGGTTATAGCGCCGCTATAGCGGTGACTATAATCGCGGTAAATAGCGGTAAATCGCGACGCTAATAGCGTCACCGCTATTCTAAACCGCTATTTCGAAATAGCGTTTCCTTACCTCCGCTAACCGCTATAGCGCCGCTATCGCCCCGCTATAGCGTTGCTATTGACTACATAGCGTACGATTGAAAGAGTTTTTGCCGGCATTCCACTATTTTAGTGGGCGGTTGGAGAAGCCTTAAAAGCTTTTAACTTGAAATAAATATGTACAAATATGAAATGTTTAGACATAGTAAATAAAAGGGTTACTCTCTATACTGACCAAAATATTACAACCGTTCAACTTGGAAAACTATCACAAAATGAAATATTAAGCTTACAAAAGTAGATTTTCTGAAATGTCTTTTGGTTGTGATTAATATTCTTAGCTATTAAATAAGCGTACATAAATAATCTAATATTAAAATCACTATTATTTGTTTCATACATAACAATAATTTTCAGGTTTTTCCAGCAATTAATAAACATATAAAGAATATTCCATGAGCACATGGTATAACTTTTAGATTGCTTATCGTGTTGTGTGTACTCAATTTGCTTTACGTAATGAAACTCTCTTTTTTATATATAACATGACACCACCTTCCTCTTAATATCTTAGACTTTTCTCACTTCAAAATATGTACTTTTTGCACCACCACCCAAATCAAACAATATCCCCCCATTTCCATTCAATTCCTAACATTTTCGTTCTAACTTCAAGATCAAGACGCAAAATTCTTAGCCAATATCTTTGTATTTTGGTTCGTTCTGTGAGATTCGAATCTTGATCAACCTTCTGTTAGTTCGAGATTCAATACCCCTGACGGTTTTTTGTTCTTTAACTTTTCTGTTAACAAGTGAATTTTTATATTTTTTTTAATAAGATTTGATCCTTCAACCTTTCTCACCACCATGGAAACCCTTTATATTGATTCCTCATTACTTCCATATTTCACTCTCATGTATATTTCAATATATCTTATTGGCTACTCAACACTTTTTAAGAAATGGGATCCCAAGAAAAGGGTAGATGCTTCAAGTTGCTTAATCTCCTTAACTCATGGTACCCCAGTAGTCTTCCTATCAATCTATGCAAATTTCCTACACCCAGAAAAACCCCACCAACACTTTGCTGCCCAAAACACACCATTTCAAGCCTTTGTTCTTGACTTTAGCATTGCATACTTCTTCATAGACACCACACATTACTTAATCTTTATTCCCAATGATTACTTGTTCATTGTCCACCATTTAGCGGTTCTTTATGTGTTCATAACATGCCGTTATGTGGTCGGTTATGGCGGTTATGCCATCCTCTTCCTCCTTGCACTGGCGGAGGTCACTAGCCTTTGTCAGAATATATGGAGCTTTGCTAAGTGCCGGAAAGATGAGGTGGCAGTGGCGGCATGGTTGTATAGTGGTTTATCTCCTTATTTTTATGGGTTTTATACGATGGTTAGAGGGGTGTTAGGGCCGTTGCTTGTGTATAAAATGGTGGTGTTTTACTGGAATGGTGGTGGCGATGGTGTGGTTCCGATGTGGGCTTGGGGTTCTTGGATGGTTGTGATTGTGAATGCTATTTTAATTAGTGTGTTGTGGGTGTCTAATCTTTGGGTTGAGTTGTTTCAAGAAAGAAGCAAAATAAGGAAATTAAGTTAAAGGTAGACCTTCAAAAATTGTGCTTTTGTGTATATATATATAAATGGTCCACCTTCAAAAATTGTGTTTTTGTGTATATATATAAATGTTCAACTTGATACTAGTATGAAATAGGTGTATCATATGGGAAACACATGATATAATATGAATACCTAGTATACGCAATTGAAAGTTTGTACAAACAATGTCTTATTATTATTATTATTTTAATATTTTTATCTATTTTAGTTATTTATTAACTTTTACTTCTTTCTCTTCTCTAAAAAGTTTTTTTTGAAACGAGCGGATTTTATAAAGAGTCACAACCTAAAAGAAAAAAGATCAGACTAAAACAACGAACAACTTACAAAATGCCAAAAGAAAAACAAGCCCAAAACTCCAATTTACAATTAATAAAATTATCCTTATGTTTTAACCAACTAAAGACAAAACATTTATATATATATATATATATATATATATAATATATATATATATATATATTTATAATATGCCAATTTTTAAATATTTTTATTAATATTTTCCAATAACATAAAAAATTAAACATTAAATGAGATTTGCAAGATGGCGATCATGCATTTAATGAGTTAATTTTGATCTAACGCTCCACCTTTAGTTCTCGGATTCTCGGGTAACTATGAGTTCTTAACGGATCTCACCCCTATAATATATATATATATATATATATATATATATATATATATATATTATATATATATCTATATATATATATATATATATATATATAGGGGTGAGATCCGTTAAGAACTCATAGTTACCCGAGAATCCGAGAACTAAATGTGGAGCGTTAGATCAAAATTAACTCATTAAATGCATGATCGCCATCTTGCAAATCTCATTTAATGTTTAATTTTTTGTGTTATTGGAAAATATTAATAAAAATATCTAAAAATTAGCATTATAAATCAAATTTTCGGATTTTTTTAAATAAAAATAATAATTTTTGATTTTTTTAAAAAATGCATTTTTTTAGAAAACATGATTTTTTTTAAAAAGTGCATTTAAAAAAAACAATAAGCTTTTAAAAATCAGTAAACTGCAAAAAAAAGAAAAAAAACCTAGAATATTTTAAAAAAAACTATAGTTTTTTTAACCAAAAAAATCAACATTTTAGGTCCATATATGCATATTGTTTCAAGTGCATATATGTTTATTTCTTATATTATAATATGCGTAAGTAATTTTAGAAATAAAACTCATTTTTATACTAATCTAAAAACACAATAGTACTAGTATTTTATTTGATACAAAATAAAATATAAAAAACAAAAAAATGCTATAAAATTTCAAAACGTTTCCATGTCTTCGTGTAAAGATTTCCATATTTTCTTTACTTTATCTTTTTCATCTCTTCAATATTTTCCACAAAATTTTCCAAATCAAAAAGAAAATTTTAAAACAAATTGATTAATACAAGAACACTCACAAAATGCATATGTATATATCATGTAAGATTTACATGTGATTATATAATGCAATATTCACATGTAATTGTATCTTTCAAGATTCAAATGTGAAATTCACAAGAAATTTTTAAAAAATAATTAACGAAGAACACACACAAAATGCATAGACGTAATTTGTAACATCCCAAATTTCAGAAGTATCATCAAAGGGCTCAAAGTGTAATTGAAGGAAGGGACTCGACGAGTAGGCCGCCGAGTCGGAGCGGGTTTTGGGTCGCAGAATAAGTGGCCAACTCGCCGAGTCGGAGGCTGGGACTCGACGAGTTGGTGCTGAAGGAAGAAAACCCTAATCCCGGGGGTTGTGCCCTATATAAAGAATGTTATATCCCTTCCTCAGCCTCCTTACCACTCTTGAGAGCCTATAAACCCTAGAAATCGAGTGAGCTTCCATTGATAGAGAGAATAGTGCTTGGAGGAGGAAATCTTGAAAGAGACTTGAAGATCAAGAGGCTTGCTGCAAGGGAGTGGTGTATATTCGGGATCTACTGCAGTTGGAGCATATCTTGGAGGTAATAATCTGTTGCTTGGGCTCTTTTGCATCTAGATCTATTATTGTTTGAGATTTGGGGCATTTTTGGTATGATTGAGAGTTATTTCGGGTTTGGAGGATAGATCTGAGGTTGCTACCTCAGATCTAGACTTGAGCTGGTCCAGAATGTCATAAAGTATCTATCAATGAGTTGTTGGTGAAGCCCCCTTTGTCATAAACCCTAGCCCTAGAGTGTTTTGGACCTATATCTCCTTGGTTTCACATAAAGTTTTCCACTTTATGTAAGGGTTAGACTGTAGAAGAGTGGATATATGGATTGGAGCCCCTGCATGGTTTGAAAAGCCACTGTATGGATTGAGAACTGGAGAGACTCGGCGAGTCACATAGGTGTACTCGACGAGTTGTATGAACATGTGCATGAACTCGGCGAGTTGGAAGAACAACTCGGCGAGTCTGTTGAAGATTGCCTTGGACTCGGCGAGTCTGTTCTTGGACTCGGCGAGTCTGGTTGCAGAACCCCAATCTCTTCTGGTTAAACCTCGAAGCAGTAAGTCGGGAGGTGACTCGGTGAGTTGAGCAGGATGGGACTCGGAGATCGTTGGACTCGACGAGTCTTGGGGTGACTCAGCGAGTTGAGTCGTGTTCTAAGAGTTTTTAGAGTATAAGGACTCGACGAGTCAACGGATTGACTCGGCGAGTAGAGTCAGTCATGAAGTTTGAACTTTGACTTTGACCTTCATGGGTGTTATGATAATTGGTTATTCATGTCAATGGTCCATTGATGACTATAGGTGTTGGAGTTTGGGGCAGTGCTTCGGGTTTGTGCTTTCGTGGTTCGGTTCTTCGTTTCAGGTGAGTTATCCTCACTGTACTCAAGGGTCTAAGGCACCAAGGCCGGCCCTTTGAATTGTTGTTTATAGCTTGTTATGCTTATGAGATGATATGCTTGCTAGTATCCTGGTAGATAGGATAATGATATGATGTTATGCTCTGTTAGCTTAGTATCCTGGAGGATAAGGTAGTTAAGTGATGGCAAAATTTGTTGGATCAGCACCCTGGTAGTTAGGTAGTGGTTATATTCATAGACCTGTAGTTGGTCTTGCCTTATGTACGCTGGTAGGAGGTTACCTGCGGGATTTGTATGTTGAGCAGTAGCAGAAGGCATTCCATCCCGGTAGGATGATAGGGCCCTACTATGTTGGTTCTGTAGAGTGTTATGTGGTTGCCTATTATATGTGCATGTTTGCTAGTGTAGGGGCATTCCAACCCGATGGTTGTGGGCCAGGAGTATTCCATCCAGGTGGATGATTGGACTCGTAGTAGGTTGGCATTCCAACCCGATGGTTGAGGGGCCTGGGGTATTCCATCCTGAGGGATGATTGGACCCATAGTAGTAGTTATTGTATGTATAGGAAGTGGGGCATTCCAACCCGATGGTTGTGGGCCAGGAGTATTCCATCCCGGTAGGATGATTGGACTCATAGTATGTTGGCATTCCAACCCGATGGTTGAGGGGCCTGGGGTATTTCATCTTGCGAGATGATTGGACCCATAGTAGTTATTGTTGTACGTATAAGTGTATGGGCATTCCAACCCGATGGTTGTGGGCCGAGAGTATTCCATCCCGGCAGGATGATTGGGCTCGTAGTATGTAGGCATTCCAACCCGATGGTTGAGGGCCAGGGGTATTCCAACCGGAAGGTTGATTGGACCCATAGTATGTTGTTCTTTGCTGTATGTATGTTTATGTGTGTATGGGTACTTTGGAGGAACTCACTAAGCTTTCGGGCTTACAGTTGCAGTTTATTGTTTCAGGTACTTCAGGAGATCGTGGCAAGGCGAAGGCGTGATCGTACCGCTCCTCATGTTTTATGATTTATGTGATGTGGTTCTGGGGATACTCTGATGTTTAAACTATTTTGAAAACAAGATGTATGAACTTAATGGTTTTGAAATGAAATAAAATGTTTTAATTTGGCATGAATTTTATGGGTGTTACAAGTTGGTATCAGAGCCTTGGTTTGAGTGAATTGGAGGAACATTCGTGTGAGTCCAGTCTCAAATCAAGGAAGGTTTTCAAATGGTTTTCAAAATAAGTAAAGGAGGATGCAGAGGGTACGATCAGCCGGAGCCAGTAAGTAGACCCCAAAATACCATACAAGTCATTTGATATTGTGATATGTTAGAACAACATGCTAGTACTAGGCTAGGGATATTCAGGAATTGCATGATAGAATTCCTTGATTAGATGATGCCTGTTAGCCTAGGGTTTTCCTTATATGAAATTGACATCATTACTGTAGTTATTTAGTGTAGGCATCACGGTTATACATAACTAAGATCTTATAGCCTGAGAATGTTTGATTTGGCCTTATGTTCTGTTCTTGTCTGATTGGGAGCTTAGGGTAGGATTGGATATTCGAAAGTCTATAGGGTCCAGCATTATGTATGACTAGCATACACTAGTGCTGCAGGGTTGGTGAAAGTTTCATGGATGGGTGGGTTGTGTGAGGCCGGGAGGCCAGTATGAGATAATTAGCATTCCTCTAGGAGTGGGGATTGAATGTTCGTTATGTTATGTATATTATTAGGGTGTTGTGGTGATACTTGAGACAAATATGGGTAGGTGTGGAAGGTAGTATGGGCCCGTACTACTGAAAGCATAGGACCCATACGCATAGCAAGGAAGTCACAACTCCTAGGGTTTAGAAGGGAGTTGGTCCCCGGTTATCTAGGCGGATTGTTTGATATTTTTCCTCTTCGTTTCAGTATGGTGGTTACGAGGCGTGTTGTGACTGGATCCGGATCGGGATCAGGTCAGGGTGATCAGGGGGCCCCAGCGGCACCTGAGATTATCGGTCAGGAGGGGCCAATGTTGACAGAGGATCGGGTCAGGGAGATCATCTGCGAGGAGGTGGTCGAGATTGTCCGGGGTCAGATTCCGGAGTTGTTTGGGACTATTAAGTCCGCTATGAGGGAGTACTTCGATGATCGTTATGCAGCTCTTACTGAGACGGCTGCCG